TGTAATTTAATCCATTCCCTCAGTCTTAGACTGGCAAATATAACTTATCTATTTCTCCTAGCTTTTCATTTACTTTTATTGTGACAAATAATAGGACATTTTCTAGTAATACTTTTTTGTTGAACCTTAAAAAGCAAACCTGAACACTACCTGTGTTTTTGAGGACCACCATGCTGTGTTACTCTGCTAGGAAAGCAAATACAGATCACTCAACCTGGGATTGCAAAGGGTCAGGTGAAGGGTATGAGATGTTATGGTGAAGCCTTACATCTAAAATGTAAATTAGATTATTCTTTTATGGAATAGCGTATTTAATTTCTTTATGAATCGTTTATAAATGATTAATGGCTAAGACATTGTTCTAAAATGTGATGCCCTTGAATATAAATTGTGAGATGCTTATTTCCCCTCTTGTCATATTTAATATAGTTCCTAGAAGAATTTTTATTGTAAAGAAAATCTTCATACTGGATGTTTGGTTTTTCGGTTTTGGCTCTTCCTGGGTTAATGCATTTGCATAAATGAATGATTTTATTTAAATATTTTTAGAAATTATCTGATTCTGAAACTTTCAAATACAAACAGTTTTCACAAAGCCTTTCACCTTATGATTTTCAGCATCTGTCTTTTCATTTTGAGTGGCCCGTGTTTTCCTTCCTTTTAAGCCTTGCTATCACATGACAGTGTTGGGTAGAACTTTTCAACCTGAAAGGAATGATGCCCTTGTCAGCATTATGGTATAAAGCTCGGGAGATGAGAGTGCAGTTTTATCATCTCCCCTTGAAATCTGCTCTGCTTTGCTGTGGTCAGATATGTTATCTAAGTTAAATGAAACATTCATGTGTTTTGTTTTGGTTTCCCCCGCAGATGTTTCGAGCAGTTTTTCCAGTAGACGTGGGAGCAGCTTTCCCTGCCGGGGCAGAGGCTTCTGCGGTGCATTGACCACGCCAGGTGCCCCCCCAAAGCTGCTCTATCACTCCTCTCCTCAGCTGGACAGGGGAGAGAAAATATAATGAAAGGCTCATGGGTGGAGATAAGGACAGGGGAGATCATTCACCAGTTACTGTCATGGGCAAAACAGACTCAACTTGGGGAAAACTAGTTTAATTTTTTACCAATCAAATCAGAGTAGGATAATGAGAAAATAAAAAACAAATCTTAAAACACCTTTCCCTCCCCCACTTCTTCCCAGCCTCAACATCACTCCCAATTTTCTTTACCTCCTCCCCCCAGCACAGCGCAGGGGGATGGGGAATGGGGGTTGCGGTCAGTTCATCACACGTTGTCTCTGCTGCTCCTTCCTCCTCAGGGGAGGACTCCTCACACTCTTCCCCTGCTCCACCCCGGGGTCCCCCCCACAGGAGACCGCCCCCACAGGAGACAGTCCTCCATTAACTTCTCCAACGTGGGTCCTTCCCATGGGCTACAGTTCTTCACGAACTGCTCCAGCATGGGTCCCCCATGGGGTCCCAAGTTCTGCCAGCAAACCTGCTCCAGCCTGGGCTCCTCTCTCCACAGGTCCTGCCAGGAGCCTGCTCCAGTGCTGGCTTCCCACGGGGTCACAGCCTCCTTTGGGCACATCCCCCTGCTCCGGCGTGGGCTCCTCCCCGGGTGCAGGTGGATCTCTGCTCCCCCGTGGGCATCCATGGGTGCAGGGGCACAGCTGCCTCACCATGGGCTGCACCAGGGGCTGCAGGGGAATCTCTGCTCCGGTGCCTGGAGCACCTCCTGCCCCTCCTTCTTCACTGACCTTGGGGTCTGCAGGGTTGTTCCTCTCACATATTCTCACTCCACTCTTCAGGCTCTTGTTCCACACAGTTTTTTCCCTTTCTTAAGTACGTTACCACAGAGGTGCTACCACCGTCACTTACGGGCTTGGCCTTGGAGCCAGCTGGCATTGGCTCTATTGGACATATGGGAAGCTTCTAGCAGCTGCCTACAGAAGCCACCCCTGTAGCCCTCCTGCTACTAAAACCTTGCCACACAAACCCAATACAGCTTCCACACAGACTGAGCTTCAGATGGCTGATGCAGCCCTCCAAGTCCCAGGTTGCAGGGAGTACCCGGGACCTCTGTCTGAGGCCAAGAGAGATGGTCCTCTGTCTTTCAGGCGATGTGCTGTCTTGGAGAAGCTGTGCTGCTAAATGGAGGAGTTACAGGAGGAAGTGACCAGGTTGCACCACATCAGAGAAGATGAAAGGGAGATAGGCAGGGTCTTCTCTGAGACTTAACAGCTTGAAGAGCCTTGGACCCCATCTGCAACAGGGAAGCAGGCAGTGTCTACCTCACACTATCATGGTAAGCAAAACCTCTGGAGAAGTGGAAGGATGGAAGTTGGTGACTTCTGGCACCACGAGGAAGGTTCCTGCCCCACCTTAGGGCTTACAACTGCAAAATAGGTTCACTGTCCTCAAAGTTGAAGAAGAGCTAGATGTGCCTTCAAGCAAAGAACGTGGTCCACCTAACCCTAAACCATGCAAGACTTACCAGGAATAAAAGGCAAGTCATCGTAATGGGTGACTCCCTGCTGCAGGGGACAGAGGCACCCATCTGTCAACCCAACCAGTCATTTAGAAATGTTTGCTGCCTTCTGGGGGCCAGGATCTGGGATGTTGTGGAGGAACTACTGAAGCTTGTCTGGCCCATTTACTACAACCTCCTGCTGTTACTCCATGTGGGTGCAAATAATACTGCCAGGGGAAACCTGGACAGTATCAAAAGTGACTACAGAGCTCTGGGGGTGGTAGTCATGGGCATGGGGGCCCAGGTGGTGGTCTCAATCCTGCTAGTGAAGGGAAAGGGAGTGAGGAGGAGGGCACTAATAGGACAAGTCAATAATTAGCTGCAGAACTGGTGCTGGCAACAGGGTTTTGGGTTCTGTGACCGTGGGACCCTGTTTGCAGGTCAGCATCTGCTTGGAAGAGGTGGGATCGACCTCACTAAGTGAGGCAAAGCTAATTTTCGCCAATAGGATGGCTGACCTTACTAGGAGAGCTTTAAACCAAGAATGACAGAGGAGGGAGAGAGGGAGGGAGTGATGGAGAGGTTTGCTGAGCAAAGGGCATGGATGCTGTGACGGGAAGGGATCACAAAATCAACAAAATGAGTTTTAGCAGGGTGACCTCCAGTGCTCGCATGTAAGCAAGGGAAATGCCTACGAGGCACCTTTATGGAGAAATCCCCAAACCCTTTCTAGGAAGTCAACATGCTGGTGTGCCTCTGTGAAGTGTCTGTACACTAACACACTCAGAATGGGGAAAAACCATGATGAGACAGAGATCTGTGTGCAGTTGCAGGGCTACAATCTTACCGGGATCGTGGAGATGTGGTGGGATGGCTCCCATGACTGGAGTGCTGCAAAGGATGGATACAGGGTCCTTAGGAAGGACAGGATGGGAGGATGAGGAGGGGGAGTTGCCCTTTATGTGAGAGCAGCTGGAGTGCATGGAGCTCTGCCTGGGGATGGATGAGGAGCAAACTGAGATCGGTTTATGGATTAGAATTAAAGAGAAGACAGGTAAAGGTGACATTATAGTGGATGGTTGCTGTAGGCCACCGGACCAGAAAGAACAAGTGGATCGGGCCCTTTGTAGACAGATAGGAGCAGCCTCAAGTTGGTAGGCCATGGTCCTCATGGGAGACTTCAACCTCCCCAATATCTGATGGAGGGATAATACAGGATAGAAGCAATCCAGGAGGTTCCTGGAGTGTATTCATGATAACTTCCACCACCAAGTGACGGAGGAGCCACTGAGGAGACATGTTCTGCTGGACCTCATACTCACCAACCAGGAGGGGCTTGTTGGGGATGTGAAGGTCAAAGGCAGCCATGGCTGCAGTGACAATGAGATGGTAGAGTTCAGGATCCTGAGTGCAGGGAAGAGGGTGAAAAGCAAGCTCACAACCCTAGACTTCAGGAGAGAAGACTTTGGCCTCTTCAAAGATCTGCTTAGAAAAGTCCCATGGGATAAGGCCCTGGAGGGAAGGGTGGCCCAAGAAAGCTGGTTAATATTCAAAGATCACCTCCTCCAAGCTCAAGAAAGTTCCATCCTAATGAATAAATCAGGCAAAAATGCCAGGAGGCCTGCATGGATGAACAAAAGAGCTCCTAGCCCAACTCAAACACAAAAAGGAAGCATACAGAGGGCAGAAGCAAAGACAGGTAATGTGGGAGGAATACAGAAACACTGTCTGAGCATCCAGGGACAAAATTAGGAAAATTAAAGCCCAAATGGAATTGAATCTGACTAGGGATGTCAAAGACTACAAGAATGACTTCTATAAGTACACAGAAGACAAAAGGAAGACTAGGGAAAATGTGCGCCCATTGATCAATGAGGTGGGAGACTCAGTGACACAGGCCATGGAGAGGGCTGAGGTACTGAATGCCTTCTTTGCCTCAGTGTTTACTAGCAAGATGAGCCTTTAGGAATCCCAGAGAACAGGGGAAAGGTTAGATCAAGGAAGATATACTCTTGGTGGAAGAAGATCAAGTCAGGGAATACTTAAGCAAACTGAACGTCCATAAGTCCATGGGTGCTGATGGGATGCACCCACAAGTGCTGAGGGAGCTGGCTGATGTCATTGTGAGGCCACTCTCGATAATCTTTGATCAATCATGGTGATTGGGAGAAGTGCCTGAAGACTGGAGGAAAGCAAATGTCACTCCTATTTTCAAGAAGGGTAAGAAGGAGGACTAAGGGACTAAGGGACTAAGGACTAAGGAGGACTAAGGCTGGTCAGCCTCACCTTGATCTCTGAGAAGGTGATGTAGCAGCTGGAATCTGCTATATATAATACAATAATTGTATATATACTATAATCCTGGAAACCATTTCCAGGCACATTAAGGACAAGAAAATAATCAGGAGTAGTCAGCATGACTTCATCAAGGGAAAGTCATGCTTGACCAACTTGATAAATTTCTATGATGAAATGACTGGCCTGGTAGATGAGGAGAGAG